CTAGCAATGGCCTCCAACCTAGAAGTGATGGCCTCCAACCTGCTAGCGATGGCCTCCAACCTAGAAGTGATGGCCTCCAACCTGCTAGCGATGGGCTCCAACCTGCCAGCGATGGGCTCCAACCTGCTAGCGATGGGCTCCAACCTAGTGGCGATGACCTCCAACCTACTGGCGATGGCCTCCAACCTACTAGCGATGGCCTCCAACCTACTAGCGATCCAACCTATTAGCGATGGGCTCCAACCTAGTGGCGATGACCTCCAACCTAATAGCGGTGGGCTCCAACCTACTACAACCTACTAGCGATGGCCTCCAACCTACTAGCGATGGCCTCCAACCTAATGACGATGACCTCAATCCTAGTAGCGATGGCCAATTAAACAATTATGCAAGAAAGCGTTGCCCTGATGGATATGTCCGGATCTCCGTGGAGGGGCTACTGATCAGTAAGTTTGCAATTTGGAGATGAATGGTCAAGAATCCATAAGAAACTGAATCATATATAGCAAGAGGAATCATAGCCTGTCCCACGGCTGGTAAATGCTAAAGCTTCCCAAGGATTCCTGCGCATCGGAGTTCTCTGCTTGAGTTGGGCGCTGGGATCTAGCCTGGCTGTGCCACATGTCATGTTCATCCTCGTGGACTCACTCCTACGGTGCGGAACTAGGAGCAAGGACGCTACTAGGGGCGGCATCTCTATTCATAGAACTGGCCAATGCGGCAAATGGCCGATGCCAGCAAAACGTGACGGATTGGCATCACGTGGGGGCGATAAGTGGATCTCACCGCTTCCTCGTCTTGGACCAGCCTCACAGTGAATGCAACTTCAGTCAGGCATAGTAGAAAAACGGGAAATGCTACGCCACAAGGGTGGTCGCGCAATAGTCCCAGGAAAAATCCCGGTTCCCAAGTTAAACGCTGCAAACACTCGAAAACACCACTGTAATTACCAGTGATTGTGGTACTTCAAAGCCGCCTCCAAGTGCCGACCAGGAGGAGAAGCAAATCCTAGGGATCAGATAATCAGTGACACCTTCAACTGCACCTGAGCCTGCATATATGTGTATTTTTGTTTATGTATATTTATTTATGTATATATATATATATATGTATATCGTCTATACATTTTATATACTAGAAAAAAACTATCCTGCAGTGTTATAACTTCAAGCTGTTGGACTTAAGCCTTGAGTGACCTCAATGATGTTCCAATGTTCCATGTCTTTCCAAAGCATCACCGGCCCTACATGCCCGCCACTGCAGCCCTGGGGCTGTCAATATGGTCGACCTGCACCACCTATGGCTTTCAAGGCTCAAGCACACCAAACTCCAAGAAGTGCACGGGTAAGATCTTGTAAGAGTTATGGCGTCCATGCCTTGAACTTCAAGAAGTGCACGTGGACTCCAGATTCGTCCCGAGCAAAGCCCAACTCCTGGCCGTTCTCTAACCTTTGGCTCTGGCCAGGCAGAACTTGATCATCTCCGACATAGAGCCTGGGGAGCACAATAACCTCTTGACCCAAAGACCACAAAGCACAACAGTCTAGAGTCTCTGGATTTGTTTGGAGTCTTTGGAGTTGGGAGTGTCTCGCGAGTCTAGCATCGCCTTGGTTTATGACTCACCGCGGGATTTAGCCTAGCATCGGGTTGGAGCTTGGGCTCACGTTGGACAAGCGAAGGACACCATCAGGATCAACTTCGAGCTTCCCGTGAGTTCGGGAGATGAAGGTAGCCAGTTTGGGTTTGTCGGCTGCTTTCACCAAAGCCTCCAGCTGAATTTGATGCAAACGTCCCAACATCATCGGAAATTGAGACACCTGCAGGGCTTTGCTGAAGGAGTTTCGGGGATTTCGAACCCGGCTGGTGAACCGAGGCTTGACAGCGCACTTTTGAAAGGTCGTAACAACTATCTATATATATATATATAACACACACCTATCAAGAAACCAACACTGTGAGTGTGTCTTTCCTGCACCTGTGCTTCTGTCTCGCCATCTTAGACTCCACAAGACCAAAGGTTGAGAAAGGAGCAAAGGTTTGAGGGAAGGGGGAGAGGAATGCAATGCCAAACATGGAGGGGGAGGGCAATCCAATTTTTGTATATAAGTTAAAAACATACGGTATCGCTGTTTAAATATACGATTGTCTAAAACAAGTGAACAGGTATTTTAGACGACCTCCGGCAAGGATATTGCCAGCCCGGCTGGTTTTTTAACACACGGAATTAATATACGATTTAAATATACGGTCAGCTTAATACATATTTGCGGCGGAATTTATTTGGTACTGAGCTCAAATATACTATCTATTATGTGGGGTGTTGGAGGTGCTTTTGGTGGCCTTGGTGGTGCTCTTGGTTGTCTTGGGGGTCCCGGTGGCCTTGGTCTTGGTGGTCCGGTCTTGGTCCCTGGTGGTTTTGATTTGGCGGTGTGGCACCTCCCCATACAGCCTGCAGCCCTGAAAGTAGTAAGAGTCCTTGATGAGTTCTACTTCCTGTGAGAGGGTTTGAAAAGCTAGATCGACCTAGGTGCTGGGCAGAAAGCAAAGTTTTTTCTCTACAAAAATCGGGTTCTGCAGGTACCAAAAACTGCCCCACTACAACATGGCCCCTCTGTAAGGGCCTCAAGCTCTTCCTTTTTGTAGAAGAAATGTCAACATGGGTCCGTCTACATTTTAAATATACGGGGCTCGGCCAGACCCTTTAAATACACGGTGGGAACAGGTATATAATTTGGGAACAGGTATCTAATTTAGACTACCTCCGGGTCCGATTGCTCTGGCCCACCATATTTTTAAAAAGCATTACCGCAATCATCAAAGGTTTATGGATACCGTTAAGCTTAAGCATGCACATGCACACAAAACACCAAAGACTTGTAAGGGACAGTTTGGGGAGGCGGGAAAAGTTTTCTCCAAAGAACGTGTATTGTTGTTGTTTGTCCCCTTTTTGTATTGATATTCCTTTCCCTCATCTTTTCTTGGGATGTATGCTCCTGTGGTGGGTCTCCTCCTTTCATTGTCTTCATTTAAGAAGGCCTCTCCTGCGCTATAAAGCACTTTCTTGGACCTTGCACACACCTTGCAACAATACATGGTGATGTACAGTATATACTATATATAAGGCCTTTAGCACAATAGTTTGACAATTTTAATGATCAAGCAGCCCACATAGATGCAATCAACAATGCACGGAGGATGTCATAAATACATCGTCCTGTATGGAGTGTTCCATCTACGCAAACTTGGCGCGTCATGTCTCTTTTGTGCAAACGTTTCCTTTATCAAAGCCTTCCTCCTTGTTGGTTTTCGCTGATCAACGTCCACCATACTTTATCACACAAGCACTCCTTCTTCCAACATACACATACATTTACTATTTCAAGAGCATCTGATTAAGCAATAACTTTGACCACCTCCTCTTTTACGAGGCATCCTGCAGCATCCGTTGTTGAAATAAGTCTAAGTCTACGGCCTCCTTTTCAAAAGGTATCACCTTGCAAGCCCTTCTTTCTTGTAAAAGTGGCTCCATGGTAAACAGCGTATCTGTTGAAAAATGGTCTGTCATTCATAAAAGTTCTCTCCATAAAATAGAAATCCTCCCGTACAATAGATTCCTAGGAGCATAAGCATGAGCTATATATGAGGCTCTCTGCACAAATGCACATCCTTTCCCGCACCTGCATCTTTGAAAGGTATTATCCTTCCTTTGGTTAGCCCACTCTATACTCAATTATATAAGGCAAGGGAGTAGAGCCCACGCTAGCAATAGGAAGCTCCTAGGAACAGGACGGATAGCTCACGTTTCCTTGAAGAAGTGTTCACACTATTCATGTGCATAGCTACTAGGAACAAGTGCCTTACTAGTAGTACCAGGTGCCTTACTAGTAGTAACAAGAAGTTTAATTCAATTTTCGGGACACTTGAAGGCAAAGGTAACTCTTGGTCTCCTCCTTTAAAGGGCTCTTGCATGTAGAAGAAAGTCGTCGGATCTTATCTAAATTGCACTCCTTCGTCTCTTTTAAGAGCGGTAATATGTCTTCGAGACTATTATATGTTCCCAAATGTTCTTTCCTTCCTGACACCTCTACTGTTTAGATATCTTCTACAGTGTCCACTCTGCCTGAATGTCCCTAACAGCGCTCCGAAGTTCTGCAATCTGCCCTGGCGTCAATCCTTCGACATGAACACAGGCAAGCACCCAAGCTGTTCGTGGTCTAGCAGAAACACTTCTCACGTCGCTGTCTGATGCAATCTCATCTGCTCTTCGAACTGTCCGTCTGGGAGGCGGAGAAGTTGGTCCTTCCACTTTGGGAGTGAACTCAGAGGCCGGCAGGTAACGCAAGCGCAGTATTATGGTCCCTTCTGCTGCATGTGAAAATGTAATTTCTGAGCGAACTTGCAAGGGGACTGCAATTTCGCGAGGCGCCACCTTCCCATCAACGGAAATAGTTCCTTGGCCTCGAACTGTCAGAAATGCATTTTCCCCCTTTGCACCGCAAAGAATTTCGAAGGCTGTGCGGGAGATGCAGCATTGCAGCGCGGTGTCAGGAACCCAAACTTCAAAAGCTTTCTGCTGATGGCTTCGTCCAATCGCAAATGTCGACATGTCCGACGAGCATTGAGAATCAGGACTGGGCTTCAAATAGACGCAATGGAATCCTTGTGGGATTCCATCGGGTTCCGTGCCGGAGGCTGAAACATACTCCAATCCAAAGGTTGCCAGGGCACTGTTGGCAGGTGGAAGAAGCATTGGGCTTGGAACCTTTACTTGCGGCGGTCTTCCATTTAAGTCCTCTGGCTGCACGACCTTCTTTGCTGGATGAGCTTGCGGCGTGTGCTGTTCATTGGCTGCAGGCTGCTGGGCCGGTTGAATCTGCTCTGGAGAAATCAAATGTTGAGGCAATTGAGGTACTCCCCCAGCATTGAAAGTTGATGGCCTTGGTTCCCAAAAATTTCCGAATGTTGCTTCTGCATGGTGTGTTCTTCCAGAGTCGATTGGGGACACTCACTGGGACACTCATAATCACGTCGTCAAGTCTCTGGGAAGGCTTTGGGAATCGCTCGTTGTGCTTTCGCAAAGCCTTAACCAGCTCCACAAAGCGAGGGCGCTCCTTAGTTGACTGGAAACTGTGCACACCTATTTTTTCCAAAATGCCGTGATAGCAAAACAGCGCCAAGCAGCTTCATCATTCGGCTGTACAGCCCGTAAAGCCATTTCAGCCATTTCCCGAGCTAATTGCGTGGGCCATCCAGCCTTTCAGAATGTGCAGCATGCAATCATCTATAATTTCTGGGGGCCTCAAGTGTGGTCCAAGGCACGTGGCAGTCAAGGTGGGTCATGCAGCGTTCAAGCGCGCCAGGGCTGTCTTGCCTGGTGATTCCAGATTGGTTTTGAACAATGGCCACACATCTTGCTCACGTGCGTCCCGCAGTAGCATTGCTAGACAAAGTGGATGCACAACTGACCCTGACTTGATGGTGCGAGATGCTCCACTGCTTCAGCCACTTGATAGGCAATTCCACCTTTCCTCGCAGTCTGCTATGCAGCCGAGAGTCAGAAGGCGATTTGTCAAAACATGTCAAAACCAGGAGACCTTGCTTGACCCATCAAAATGAACAGAATTATGGACTGCCTGGAAGGTGAGCCAACACCCAGAATTGATTCTGTCAAGTGCAAATCTAAACCTCCCCTCCTGCTGGCATCAGCTGTGGCTGGAGCCAGGCCAGTCAAAAGCTCAAACATCACCATGCCAAAGGAGTATACCTCAACAAGAACGCTTCTACAAACTTGGGTTGTTTAACATGACATGGCTCAACTGTCATTACAAGAACGTTGCTGCTGCCGCAGGTGCTACTTTTATCCGATTCCAGCTACGAAGATGACGACTAGTTACTGCTAATTGGTGGTGCTGTGGTATTGTATATAGTGCACCCTAAGCCACTACTGCCAACAGTGCTTTTGTTCGGGCCCACCGGACATGAGCTCCCAAGCCTCACCGCCTTCCGTCACTCGTCCCGTGCGAGAATAGATTGGACAGGCGTAGCCTCCCAAGCGAAGCAACAAAACTCGAAAAATTCGACTCTTGAACCAGAATCTCGGCAAAAAGCGACTAAGCGATCATATACGATCATAAACAGTGCTCACCCTTCTGTGCAACGGGCGGTCGGGCGGCCACAAGTCGTGCGCAATACGTGATCAGCACAATATTGGCATCCCTATGTGAAGGCAGTGCTACTCGCCACCCCCCATGTCCAGTTTTTTCGGGTGATGGACATTGTCAAATTTGGGGAGCACGTGTGCACTCTGCTGTTGCCGCAAGCCACCTCATACGAGTCACACAAGGTGCAGACTCCTGATCGGCTAACTACAAACACTATTCGGCTTAAAAGCGGTCTTTGCTTCTGGTTGGTCCGTGGTTGGTCTGCACGCCGCCCTCTTGCTGCAATAGCGCATGACTATTAACTCAGCCATCACACACGGCCTCACTCAGGGGCGCATCGACTCCTCAGCACTCAGCGATCTCGGTGTGCCATGTGGGGGCGATCCAGCATCAGCCACTCCACGTTGATTTGTTTGATCAATCTTGGCGTTGACCACAGCCTCAATAACCACTCCACCATGCTGTCCGGCGATCATCACCATCCTCATCTCGTTGGTCCACGCCTTTTCCACGGTAACCTGTGTCATGCCAGCGAGATGAGCTTGCTGAAACTGATGCAAATCCTTTCCTTCTCTGTCGTTGTTGACTTGGTGGAGGCACTGGTGGTTGTCTGGCAGATGGTCTCTTCTTGGATGTATCCTTCTCTCTTGCATCCTTTTCCCATGCGGCTTTTCCCGAAGGCTCCGTGTGTCAGAGCATGCTGAGATTGTGCTGCAGTTAATGATTTCATCCAAGGTTCGATGTTTTTCATGTCTTCATTCCCGGACATCTTTTCCAATATGTCTTGGAGCGTTCTGAGGTGAGTTTCACTCAACCCTGCTTCAACATCAAGCTGGCTGATTTGTTCCAATCTTGCATGTGTACGGGGTAATGCGCTTGAGAAGTAGGGTTCGGTGTCACAACCGAATGCTGTTCGGATGGCCTTCCGCACTACGTCCCCTCTGATCTCATTAGTCCTCGTCTGATATTTCTTTGTCAGCGTATCTCTTGTGGAGTCTTTTGAAGTCACGGCCAAACGAGGCTCAGTCCCAATTGATTGCGCAGACTCGCGTGGTCAAAGCATTCACAACTGTTCCCCCCTGAGCTTGAGCCAGGTTTCTTCGACCAGTTTTCCTTTCTTGGTCGCTTCCTCCTTCGTACTATCTTTATAGTCGCTGTCCTGGGAACTCTTTGACGAATCCGGACATCACATCGCACCATCCATGTGACATGAGGTTCTCCTTGCGCTTGGCCGCATTGTTTTCGTAAAGCCTCTTGTGGACGATGTTGAAGAAGGCACCTTCATGTTCATGATGCCGTTGGCCATGGAACTGTGGTCTGTAAATATTGCAGGTTGTACATGTGCCCTCATGATCGGATTCGGTCTTCTCAAGCACTTGGGCAAATCTGGATCATCCTATCTTCGCGTCCGTCTCCATGTTGTTCATCAACACTTCTCCTTCTTCGCCGATTTCTTCTGCCAAGTTCAGGGGCCACCCTTTTGTTCACTTGAGTCAAAGTATGTCAAAGTCGGGCGATCACAAGTCGTGTGCTGTATATGACCAGTACAATATTGGTACCCTTCAGTGAATGCAGTGCTACTAGCAGCCTTCATTGATCTTCATTATTCCATCTCATTCCAAGGTCCAAATGGCCTGGAGTCCCACTAATTGTGCGGACAGTCACATGGAGCCTCGGTCATAGGCCACATCTTCTGTGAATGGAAGCATGGATTGCTGAGGTCTCAACGAGTCTAGCTTCCCTGCAGCACAACTCAGGCCAAAATCTGCCATCTTGGCCGTGCCATGCCGATCCTGGACCCAAAACAGGTCTTCAATACGCATTTGCACCACTTTATGACATGTCCCTCTCCCCAAATCCAGCTCCAAACCATGCAGCAAAACCAAAGGTACGGCTCACAAACCTGTCCAGCAATATGTTCGCAGATTTGATGTCACGGTGGAAGGCTTTCGGCTTGGAGTTGTGCATGTGCGAGAGGCCTTTCCAAATGGCAATCGGTGTCAATCTTGTTGCAGCCTGCTGCATCTGCCTCCCTAGTCTGAGCCTGCGATCAGATCAAGCAAAGTGCCCGCCTGCCGCAGCATCCAGGCAAACGCTCAAGCGCTCAAACCTCAGCAGTTGAGTTGGTAGGTTCCACTTAAGTCAATGCCTCGCTTTGAGCAGATTAGGCCCTGGGCCAGTGAAAGGGACATCCAGCAGACGGTTTCTTACCTTGGATAGGCCGTAAAGAAGAGTGTGTATACGTAAGTGTATATATATATACATACAACATATATAATCATATATATATATATTATGGACAGGTTGTGATAGACAAGCAGCAACGTCTTCTTTTCAGGATGTCGAAAACAATGCTGGGCTGACCACAGCATTGATAAGAACGACCACGCTGATCACTTCCAAACACAAGCCGCGATTGCAACATAATGGCCAAAATAGTAAAGTCACGCTACGATACCTGCTCCTGATTTAAGCTCACTTTAAAGCCCGTATTGATACGGCCGCTTCAGAACCAAGAAGCCAGCATGCCTAATATGCCTATGCCTACATATCCCTACCTTTGGATTCCACATACTCCCACTAAAACAGCCAGGGTCTACTACCAGTCCCTCTAAATGACCTTGTTGGCTCTCAAGTTCTTGAACGTCGTCAACATTAAAGCGGGCGAGGTCAGTAGACCCCACCTACTCTAGGATCAGGCGTGGCCCACTGAAATTGGGATTCCAAAACGTATTAGGCGAATGAAGGGGACGTCATAAAAACAGGCAACCATTTTTGTGACTTAGTAAGACTTAGTAGCTTTGTCTTGCGGCTGGCGTCATGATTCCCAAGAAAGCACTGAATAGCATGTATCAGTTTCCAACACGAAAGCCAAAATCATCTTGATTGCTTGAATCGTGTCCATACGTGCACAAACCACACGGTTGCAAACACCAGGGCAGTCCGGGAGTCCCACTCAGACACTTCAGACTCCTTCGGGTTGGCAGTCCCAACTTAGCTTGGGAAGAAAAGGATATCAAGTCCTTTTAGAGCACTTGTGCAGCAATGCAACCATGGCACTCTTCTGAAGGCGCTGAAAACAATCGCCGCCCGAGAGGAGTTCGTACACTAAGTAGCGATTCAAGTCGTGCTTGGCCCAGCCAAGCAGGGTCACCTCCGCTGTTTCGCCAGGAGCTTTAAATTGAATCGTGCTTTCTGGTGCGCCATCTGGCACAATATTGCAGGTCTTGCCGCAAAGCTGAGTCAAAGGCCAAGTTGGGATGACGGAATTTGCTGAGCATCTGCACCTTTCAAGCGGCCCTTTCGAGCCAATGCTACTGGTAGTGAGCCTCAACACGTCTTAATTTGATCTTAGTCCTATATATTCTGGGCCAACAGGAATTCGAAGCCACAGGAGATCACAGGAGCAACGCCTTCTTTGAACAATTCAGGCCGTTTCTTTCAAGTCTATACGCTACTTTTTTGCAACTACCCACTATTGCAGGAATGCAGCCACACCTCCTCTTCAAATCCCGAAGACTCGGCTCCCAGAGCTTTCAAGTCAATTGCCTTCATGTCATGCAAAATCACCAAACACATACGTATATAATCTCCGTGAAGCTGGACAAGAAAAATACCAAGCAAAGGCTGCGAGTGAAACACCCCGGTCTGAGTCTGAACTGAATGTGTTCGCACCTTGATCGCCACTTCTGAGCCATCCTCCAACTCTCCCTGAAAACCAATCAGAACAAGGTAGTCAGGCAATGTCTTCCTACCTTGCACTGCAAGGTCTTTCTTGAGCTACGTATTTGCCTTGAACACAGAGCCATAGGAGCCAGAGCCCAAGCGCTCAGAGTTGTGCCAATTTTTCCTCGGTGCATGTTGTGGGAGGTTTGAAAAAGGGTTATGAGCATCAGTGTGACAAAGCAAGCCAAGCTTCGTTGCCGCTGACAGCTCTTCATAGCTGTATTGGAGGGATATCTCCTGGGCTTGAGAAGGGAAAGGCAAAGTCAAAAAAACAGTGCGACATGCACACTGCACAAACAAATATATAACCAACATAATCTAAAACATTCAACATAACTTGAGAGGAGGGAGACACGAAAGGTAGGACAGCGGGAAGAGAAAAGAACGCGAGAGGCAGGAACAAAAATGCAATGTTTGACATGGTGATTTATCCCCTCGGAGGCGACATTTCGTAAATATATGTTCATATGCACTCTAAATGTTCAAACATATGCTCTCGAAATGTTCAAAAAGGTTCTTAGGAAACAAACTTGCCCCATGGCTCAGATCATCGGTGAGCATTGAATCGGAACATCATAGGATTTGAACTATCCTGAAACCATAAGAGGCTCACGAAGACACTCCCCAGGAGAGAATTAACGTGCTTCACAAAACAAACTCTAGGTATGTATCCCCTCGGGGAACACCTTTCGTGATTAGAATTTCATATTCACTCTTTCTAAATGTTCAAGAGGGTTTCAACTATCCTGAAATCATGAGAGGCTCACGAAGACGTTCTCCAGGAGAGAATTGATTTTAGAGGGGGGGGGGGG